GTAAAAAGTTTTCGCTGAATGTACTCAATTTTATTTCGTAAAGTTGTTGCACAGAATAAAATTATCTGGATCCAAGGATTATTATTTTTTTTTTTTTTTAAGTAGACTACACTTCTACTTAAAAATGTATCTGGCTCCAAATGATTTTATTTTGTGAAGACGCTTGATGAAATGAAATTGAGTAAATTTAACCCACCATTTTTTCAGTGCAGTTTGAAAAGAAGTGGGAAGAAGTGGAATTTATGTATTCCCACCACTTATTCATACCTCATTATTCCAATACCATCCTTTCTTACTATAATCAATGCTGTAATTTTGTGATTTTCAGCTGATTTGAAAATCCATTGTAGCCCCAGAAATTCTTTCAGTATTAATCCCATCCAATCGTCGCTGCACTGGTGTATTAAATTGTCAGTTCCCAAAAAGTAGAAAGAAACAAGATAAGAGAGAAAGAGATAGAGAAATGACAATTCGGAAGGCATCTCGAGAGCACTCACGATTTCCCAACATCGGGGCATTCGGTGCATAGTCTGCCAAAAAGTCACCTTATTTCTCTTCCACTCTGTATTGTCCTCTAATGCAGAAATCCATTTACATCCTTTTACTCAGGACATATAAATACTTCCCAAACACACAATGCCGGTTGGTGTTTCTGTCTGATCGCCATGTTGGGAACCACTTACTGTGAGACCATGAATCATGACCATTTTCTTCCCCAACCAGTCAATTAATATGGAGCCATTTGTCACTTAAATCTTTCCCTTTCCGCTTCATCCTTTTCCTCTTTTCGTCTGCATGGCCCTCATTCATCTGCTCTTTTTCCCGCAACATCATCCCCTGCCTGTTTTCTTGCTCTTTTTCAACCTCGAGGGATTTGTGCATTAATATTCTCTCAGTTCTTGCTGTCTTTCCATATTCTCTCTGTTCCTCTTCTCACTCCAGACGTTCGGAAAGCGTGACACGATTTCTTCCTTCGGCCTCTGTCCATTGGCCTTCTCTGTGCTCAGCGGGCACCTCCTCCTTTTTCATCACCCCTCCTCCTTCTTCTGTCCACTGACCCTCACTCTTTCTTTTTTGTTACAGCATCACGTGCTCTGCTGCTTCGGATGCTGTCTTTTGCAGATGATACCGGCAAGCACTTTGCCTCTCTGAATTATGCATTGAGATTACATAAAAACCACATGAAGCAACTGATCTATTTTTAATCCAACTCGTTTGCTTGTTAAACCTGCTTCTCTGTGATCGTGTGTGTGTGTGTGTGTGTGTGTGTGTGACAAAGCTAACATGAGTAAGGGGAAGCTCAAGTTGAAAAGACCACAACCTAAATCTGACTATACTTCCCCTTGTCTCTGTCACTTGAATTTAATTCAAATTAGTGTTCTGGGTATGTTGCATCTCAGCGAACTGTAGTAGAAGCTTACAAACTTTGAAATTGGTTAAAATTATGGCAAAAAAAGATAAATAGATCAGTTTCATGTAATTACCCTTTGACAAAGAAGGTTATCTGGGAAAAAAAAAAAAAGAATACTGCTTGCCCGCGGCCCGGTGGTCCAGTGGTTAGCGCGTCGACCTCACAGTGCAGAGGTACCGGGTTCAATTTCAGCTCCGGCCTCCCTGTGTGGAGTTTGCATGCTCTCCCCGGACCTGCGTGGGTTTCTCCGGGTACTCCGGTTTCCTCCCACATTCCAAAAACATGCATGGCACCCTGATTGAACACTCAAAATTGTCCCATGGTGTGAGTGTGAGCACGGATGGTTGTTCGTCTCTGTGTGCCCTGCTAGCAACCAGTTCATGGTGTCCCCCGCCTGCTGCCCGAAGACAGCTGGAATAGGCCCCAGCACCCCCCGCGACCCTAGTGAGGATAAAGCGGATCAGAAAATGAATAGATGGATGGATACTGCTTGCCCTCTTTGTCTGCTGAGCTGTCTTATTGCAAAGACACCTGTTGCTTTGGATCCCCATCACAAAACAGAAAGAGTGCCACCTATGGGTGGCTTTTGCACCTCTCGAGAGCAAATGTCAGTCGGGAAACAACACACACAGCTCAGCAAAGGGCACGGCAGTCGCTTGTATTCTTGGGCATGACCTAGATTGAGAGCGCCATCACAATAGACGACGATTCATCTGATTCAATGGGTAATCTTTCCATCAACTTCTCCCCTCTGATACTATCTGTGTGTGCGCGTGTCACTGAACGCGTGCGGGGATGCAAGACTGTTATCTATGGGGAGGACAGGCAAAAGATAAGAAGGAAAGGCGGAGACTTCAAATGGAAAAGAGGGACACAAATGAAGGTCGACACGATGAGAGAAGAGGGCGAGAGGTGGCTGTGAGAGACAAGAAAGGACACTGTCCTTCCCCCACCGTCTGCCCAGCCATCCTTCCTTTTCCGCACACCTCCTCCGCTCCCCCCCCCAGAAGAATAAAAAAGAGCTGACGGTGGTGGAGGCCAGGCGTATAGCCCAGGTGTCAGCACCTTGCATCGCCTGGGAGCAAGGGAGAGAGGGAAGAATGAATAATAAAGAAGACACAAAAAACAGACAAGTAGCGATGAGATGTCTGGAGTGAGAATGAGTGTGCCCTGGCAGCGAATCCTGAAGCTACATCCACCTTTTCAGCAACGTTTACACTCCTCCCTGTGTGTGCAATGCCTTGACAAGTGGAGAAAGAATTTGACAAGAGCCAAATTGATTCCTGTGTTTCTGATGCAGGTGTTGCAGACTCCCATAGCGCGGGAGTGCCCGAGGCTGCGAGTCATAAATAACACCTGTATTCTACCTAAAATACGATACAATCGTGTATCAAAGTGTTGTTCTTCATATAGACCAGTGTTTTCCAAAATTTTTTGAGCCAGGGCACGCATTTTCCTTCTCATGCATGGCACACCACAAAGTAACTTACAAGGGCAGTAAAAATATGAATTATAATGTAACTCAGTCAAGAATCTGGGCCTGTTTAAAACCCTCATGTGGTATCTTTACAATATTTGATCACAATAAGGCAGCTTGATGGATGGATGGATGGATGGATGGACAGACAGAGAGAGATAGACAGACAAGAAATTTTGAGAATTGTTCCTATGAGAAGAATTTAAGAAACATAAAGATGAGACAGCATAGTGGTAGACTGGTTAGCACGTCCGCCTCACATTGCAGCGTTGCAGGGTTCGATTCTGGCTCCGGCCTTCCTGTGTGGAGTTTGCATGTTCTCCACGCACCTGCGTGGGTTTTCGCCCACACTCCAAAAACATGTGTGGCAGGTTAACATAATTCTAGAAATTGTCCCTAGGTGTGATTGTGAGCCTGAACGGTTGTTCGTCTGTGTGCTCTGTGATTGACTGGCTACCAATTCAGGGTATACCCCGCCGAATGCCCTAAGACAGCCGGTATAGGCTCCAGCTCGCCCTCAACCCTTGTGAGCAGAGGCAGATTGGAAAATGTATTCAAGAATCAAAGACAATTGGTAGATCAGTCTTTGAATTTATGTAAACTTTCAATTGATGAGTTTACATTAATTCAAAATTGTACTCAAGTAAATATTTGCTACAAGCTTCATAAAAAAATGGGTAGTAGTTGTAATCACAATTATGGAAAACTGCAATTAAGGAGTTGAAAAAAATGTGATTTAAATGGGCTTTTCTACCTTGGGTACACAAAGCACTTCACACTATTAGTGCATTCACCTTCTGATGACACAGCATCAGGACCAGCTGGCGGTTCAGTGTATCTTGCGCAAGGTCAGAATGACCGGGGATCAAACCAGCAACCTCTGGGTTGGGGAACAACCATTCTGCCACTGAGCCATGCCTCCCCATTTTGAAGTATATTATCTTGAATACGTAGTGCAGCAGACAAAGCTTCTTCGTTTACACCTAGAAGATTATTCAAAATAGATTGAACCGAACAACTACCACAAAAAAAAAAAACAAATCCAAATTTATGCATGCCCGGGCCAAATATTGAATGAAGTGTATGTTTATTTGGTGAATGGGCATCATTTAGTTTTACCGAAAAGAGACACTGGAGCTTGCAAATTAAATATTGGCACTACACGTTCTTATTTCTTATGGTTGTTTAATGTTGTAGAATGTATCCCTATGAAAGTTGTTTTTTTTTCCTTTTAATGTTGTATGTATGTAATTGACATTTTTCACATGTTACCATTGATATTTAATAGGTCAATTTTCCTTTGTCGTCCATCCTACTGAAAATTTATCGTTCATCAGATATTCCATCGAATTCAAGGTATCCATAAATTCCCTTCCAATGACTGTCTGATACGCATAAATTGGTATGGAGATAAAGGAGCGAATATTCAGGGTATGTATTGTAAGAAACCTCTTGAAAATGAGATAGAGATGAGACAGATGAGTTAGTCTCGGGGAGTTCATCCCTCAAATAAAGTTCTGAATAAGGACACAGAAAAAAAAAAGTTAAGAGCATGAGGTACAAACACAGTCCCTTCCCCACAGCAGACAATAATAGAACATGGAAGGAAAAGAAGAGGACAAGAGAAGGAGTCACAGAGTGATCTCTTCAGAGAGCAATCTGTCATCTGCTCTCTGAGAGATGGAGTAAAGGCCCCCAAATAAAAGCAGGAGATGCTGTCAGCTTGAAAGACGGTTGTGAGATGCCGAGGTGTAGAGGAAGAAAAATGTAAAAAAAAAAAAAAAAAAAATTTTTTATAGGTTTGCTGCCAGTTTTGTCAGACTTTCTCAGCTTTATACTTTAAGCATCTCATGCCGAGTTAATGGCTTCTTCTTCTTTTTTTTTAATTGATAGCAGTGACACAGAATAAAAAGAGCATTCGATGAAAGCTGCCCGAGTAGCCGTGTAAATGACAGTCTATACTTAGAGGGTTGATCCTGCGATTCTCTCTGGCGTGATGAGCTTTCAAGCGTGTTTGTTATCATACCAAACTTCATCGTGTATTGTTCATGTCATATGTCCTCAAACACCCCGCCACTCTCCTCCTTCCTGTCTCTGTCCGTTTGTGTGCAGCAATCAACCTACTGGGTTTGACGTGGCAGCTGAAGCCGTCCGACGGCCCGGTGTTAAACAACGGACTGGGGGCCGCTGTGCCTGTGAACAGTGATGTGGCCACGCTGCCTTCTGGAGGCAGAGGTATGAACTGCAGTACGCACGCCCTCTGAAACAGCCTCAACCATGACTGCAGAGATGGACACGTTGCAAGCAAAAACACTCAATAGAACAGGATAAGACAAACCAGATATGGAGACTTCATGGTTTCATGGTTCAATTTGAAAAAAGAAAACAAAAACAAAAAAACAAATGATGAAAATATGTTCCAGTTATACCTTTTGGTGCTGTGGTGATCAGATTCAGTTTTATTTGCTGAGTCACATTGCTGAGTGTTGTGCTGGGTGACTTGGATAAGTAAAGGATTCGCGAACAAAAGAAGAAGAAAAAAATCTCGTAAAAATAGAAGTTGGATTCAAGTCCTTCAGTAAAAAAACGTTTTAAGTGCAAAAGTAAAAAGTTTTGTTTTTTTACTGTCAATTACATACAATACTTGATTCAGCATTAAAAAAAATTGCTGTACGCAAGGCATTTTCCCTCTTTTATTGCTTTGCAAATTGTTTGTCGTAGAAGAAACAAATAAATGGACACAGCTTCGCTTAAATTCTGACTGGATAATCTGGTCTGAACTTCCATGTCCTGCATGAAAACCACTAAAAGACACAACAAAAATGCTAAATTAGTGACAACTGTAAGAAATCCAGTTGATTGTAATATGTTTCAGATCAAATGGAGATTTCCTAATGCCAGAAGCTGGTGGTTTTCAGGCTAGCACAAGACAATGCATTCGCCACAAATGGTTCTTATAGCAGATGGTGTAAAATATTCTCTTACATAATGCAATGGATGTGGAATAGCTGTCATCTTTGAATCTGTTGCATCTTGATCGAAAATGCTCTCAGGTTCAAATCTTGGCATGATGCCCCTGTTCTTGTTTTTTCCCCAAGACTTCGATCAATAAATCAAGATCTCATCCACTGTTGACTTCACTCTTCTCCGTATGCATCTTTGAACAGAATATCGTCATCCGCAGATGTTGAAAAAGTAACGAGCAGAAAGCGAAGTCCAGATAACTGAGAATTTGAATTCAGTACAGTAACAAAGTACTTGTACTCTCCAAACCCAGCCCTCGCGCTGTTCCCTTTGGCGGAGATAATAATGGACCTTCAACTAACTGTGTTGTTGTCTTTTGAGTTGACAAAAAAAAAAAAGAATAGCGCAATTTACAGTCCACTGCCCCTGCCTTCAAAGCTTTTAAATAACATTGTCTGCTGCTAATAGAGTTTTGCACCCAAATGGGCTCATACCAACTTAAAGATGTCCATAAATTACAGCGCCATGTGAGCTATGCCATCACTAAGAGCTTTTTAACCACTCTGCTGAGTTATGGAGAGCAATCATCCGTTTATCAGCCAAATAAAATATCAGTATATTCACCCACACCCCCACTGCATTGTTTTAAGGAGCCACCTCCATGCATTCTTCTTGTTTCACTTACTCTGCATGCTTACACAGCATGGACGACTTGTTTGAAGCTACTTTGTGCCTAAGCTCAGCAGTATGACCGAGAGGGCTGTGTTCTCAGATGTTGTTATTCGCCATGTAACTTTGACTGCTTCACTATTCTGCACACACGTTCTTCTTGCCGGTATATTTTCATGTCTGCGCTCCAAAGCCGCCAGGGTTAGATGGCTGTCCTGATTGCAGGCTGCTGTGAGTTTCGTCCTGCAATTCTGTGTGCTTAGCTGCTTTATCCTCAGTCTTTAAGACCAGTAATATAGTTTTTTTAGTTACACAACGGTATCACACTGCACCTCGATTTCACAGCGAACTACATTTATTTTTACGTTAACTTTTACAGCTAAAAGTTCTTTTCGGCTCCGTCTAAACTTCTGCTGGAATGCATGGGCTCGTGTTTTAGCCACGCCCACACAGTCGAGCGGCATAACCTAACAGTATATTGGAGTTTTATTCTGTGTGACTCCATAGACTAAACTGGTTTTATCATATCTAAATTTAGTGTATTGAAGGGTGCAGACGATTAGGAAGATGCAGAACAAGCAAATAGAAGGTAACTCGATAAAACAGTCAAAACCAGGTCACAATCTAAAAATGTGTGCCAAAGAGGCCGAAATCTAAAAGTTCTCACTCTCTGCCAATCAAATGCCCTGACGTACATAACAAGTTTATTTTGTTCTAAGCTTTTGATTCAGACAAGCAATGGCAGTAATCACAGATTATGCAGTTTCTTTCCCCCTCGCCCCAGGTCCGTGGACGGGACGGAACAGCAGTATCGACACGGGCAACATTGATGTCGGGAGGAGAGTGACTCAAGAAGTCCCGCCTGGTGTATTTTGGAGGTCCTTGTTGTACCTCAGTCAAGCGCAGTTCCTCAAGTTCAACATATCCTTGGGCAAGGATGCCCTGTTCGGAGTCTATATTCGTAAGGGCCTGCCCCCTTCACATGCACAGGTAAATAGCGGCAAAAGCAAAGGAAGATCTGATACTTCCTTTGACATGTCTCTACGTTCTAGTCACACAAATAGCATTTTATTAATTAGTCCCATGCATAGAGAAACCATTAGCATCAGTTCTCATGACGTGCATGATATTTGGTGATGCGTTGCTTGAAACAAACTCACTGAATCCATGAATTACATTGAATGAAATCTTACATCAATGTGACCCTTCGATTTATTACAAAGTTAAGAGCCGTGTTGATTTGTAGATAACCATTTCACTTCCTGAACAGGCTAGTTTTTTGAAACCGACATTTGTGGCCAGTGAGCTCCATAGTCCCTGTGGTTCTCTTTGTTTGTCTTCTGCAGCCTTTCCTCACAGTTTCCAGCCACTCTTACACTTTTACTGACATTTACTGTATTTTACTGACCCACACAGTTAAATGTCACACTCTTAAAAAAAGCAACACTCACACTTCCTGGCTGAATTCCAGATTTGACGCTATTCTGATTCCTCACTTTTCATTGAAATTTCTCCCCTACATTTTCCTGCAGTATGATTACATGGAGCGCTTGGATGGGAAGGAGAAATGGAGTGTGGTGGAATCTCCAAGAGAGAGGAGGAGCATCCAGACCGTGGTTCTTAATGAGGCAGTGTTTGTCCAGTACCTGGATGCCGGAGCCTGGCATCTGGCCTTTTACAATGATGGTCGTGAGAGAGAGACAGTTTCCTTCAGTACAAACATAATGGGTGAGTCAATATCATAACAAAACAAAATAGTAAGGTGGATATCTCGTCTAGCCACTACAACATGCAGGCTTTTAAAATGCAATTTATATGTACAGTATAAGGTGTGTGTGAGTGTGCACAAGTGTGTGTGTGTGTGTGTGTGTGTGTGTGTGTGTGTGTGTGTGTGTGTGTGTGTGTGTGTGTGTGTGTGTGTGTGTGTGTATATATATATATATCAGCTACAACTGATTACCTTTTTTGTAGTCTCCCCATCTGCTATCTCTGCAATGAGGTAAGAGGAACTAGAATGGTTAAATTAATAACTCTCGTATAGTGTCGCTCAAAATCGAGCACTTGTAAAGGCTCATTTTAATATTATTCCTGGCCTGTGCAATTTGTATGCATTTTCGTTGTCCTAGAAGCAATAGACAAAACCACTCAGTTACTTGAAATAGTCATCAATAAAAATCCTGGAGTAATCAAACCCCAACAAAAACTGAATGCTGCTTTGACCTCCCAAATTAATTATTTCGAGCTCCTGAAGGGACTGCAATTAATTTCGACTGTGTTTGGGGCACTATGACGAGAACATGACAGAATAAGTCAAGCAGAGCGAGAAAGAATCCTTCAGCGTTGCTGTCTCATGTCAGCGCTTTTACACCAGGGGGACTGTCGAGGAGCAGAGGCCGAGGTGGCAAGGGCACAGTGGAGTGAGTCAAGAGTGGGGAGCTGGTGGGAAGCCATAATGGTGGGGGCCAAGCCACAACGGGGTGAAGTGGTGGGAAGTATGCGAGGAGTGGAAGAGAGGTGGCATTAGGATAAGAGGCAGACGAGGGCTGGAGATTCGCAGGAAACAGATGAGGACACCGACAGAAGAGAAGGAAAGGCAGGATTTCACTTGAGTAGCGAGAGTGGGATCTGACAAAATCATAATGGGACCGCATTAGCAAACCCCGCTGAACTCTCTTCTCAGCGGATTTAGTGACATCAAAAGTCAATAGAATACCAAAATGTAACACTCCAACTTGCATCGCAATCCATATTTGGTTGTGATAATAATGCCTTTGTGGCCTCAAGTGAGGGGTAAGCTGTTACCAAAATTTTAGGATGTTTCTTTTTAATAACTAATTGAGAGAGACAAAGCGTGTAAGGGCTAAAACACGTTACTTGAATTTAATTCTGAGGTCAAGATAAATAGAAGGAAGCCTTCTGCCGGAATGAATGCATTCACTCACCCCGTTGGAAAAAGCCCCAGGAAAAGATTAAATACATTTCCTTTTGATACTGCATGTGTACAAATGTGAGATTTGGAGCTTCTTTGCTCCACACGAATCTGAACAAGTGAATAGTGGCAATGGTTTAATGAACGCTTTGATGCTTTCTCACCATCTTCTTACTCTCCCTGCATCTCTGTCACACTTTGTCTTCCTCACAGATTCTGTGCAAGAGTGCCCGCGCAATTGCCATGGGAACGGAGAGTGCAATTCTGGCGTATGCCATTGCTTCCCAGGATTCCACGGCATGGACTGCTCCAAAGGTATTGGCTACTTACCATCGTATTCCTTCCCTAATTAGAGAAACATCATCGAAGAGAGGAGGTTTGGGACAATTAAGTGCGGTGACAAGATGACTGATGATGAATGGCAGCTTGTCAAACCAATGTCTCCCTTGCTCGGTGCTCACCTGAGATAGACAGTTTTGATGAATAGTTTCGTTACCTTTTGCCTGTAATTACCCTTTGTGTCAGTGGCATACTCCAGCCTCCTAACCACTCTATTTAGTCTCCACCCAGTAATGGGAAGGTGGCGTGTGTGTGTGGAGGTGAGCAAAGTGAGTTGTACAAATGTCGTTGAAATTAGGTTCACGTAAAAATCCCGGCAAAAGGAATTTTTCCATCTTTCTACTTGTGTATAATACGGTCCCCCGATCTGCACATTTTAGTTACCGTTTCCCTCGGAGGGCCGTTCTGACTGAAACCAGAGAAAAGGCGTCAAGAATAACGGTTTATTCAACTGTTGTGTAAGTTACTGTAATGAGAGTTTTGGTTACAAGAAAAAGCTTACAATATCTCTCTTATTTGTTACATATGAGAATTTGATTTTTTTTTACAAATTTTTAGTAAGCATCATGGAAGTTGATTTGCTTTCGCAGGCCACATAAAATGATATGGCGGGCCAAATCTGGCCCACGGGCCTTGAGTTAGACACCATGGTTTAGAGTGATGAATTAACCTACTGAGCATGTTTCGGGAATGTGGGATGAAAGCGGAGTACCCGGTCAAAACCCACAGAGGCAAGGGGAGACAACAAGTCCGCACAGGAATCGAACCCACGACCTCTGCACTATGGGGCGGACGAGCTAACCAGTCTCTCACTGTGCCGCCCATTTTAAAATTATGTTTTTGAAAATCTTGTCTACACTCTTATTTTAGTAAGCTATTTTATTTATTTATTTATTTTTGCTTTTCTTTCAGATCACCCTTAACTCTGTTCTACTTCTAATTACAGTATGTGAAGCATATTAAGATATCCTTTATTTGTCCCACACTGGGGAAATTTACAATTTTGTTTATTTTATAATATTGACTTACATTGTGTATGATATGTGCTATAAATCAGTGATTCCATATTCGTTACAACCCCTCGGTACTGCGCAGGTACACAATGCGACTTTTTTTTTCTTATCAAGCCTCCCCAGCAAAACCCAACCATGATTTAGGATCTTTATTTTATTCCTTGCAAAATTGACCAGATTTTACAGTATTTTCCCCCTCCTCCTTGTTTTCCGCCAGCGGCATGCCCGGTGCTGTGCAGTGGAAACGGCCAGTACGACAAAGGCTCCTGTGCATGTTACAGTGGATGGAAAGGACCTGAGTGTGATGTCCCTGTCACGCAATGCCTTGACCCGCTTTGCAGCGGCCACGGCAGCTGCACCAATGGTAACTGTGTGTGCTCCATCGGCTACAAAGGCCAGAGCTGTGCTGAAGGTGAGAGGAGGTCCATTTCAATAATTGTGAAATACTTGGGAAGGTTGAAGTAATGCCATTGGGCATGGGAGAATTGAGTATGAAATGTTACAAAATGTGCTTCACTCTGGTATGTTGAAACGGTGTTATTTCCCAGATGGCTGAATGAAAATTTGGTCAATCCTCTAAATCAATAAACATTAGATTTAGAGGATTAAGGCATACATTTGAACCCGTAATTTTCTTCACATTGCTGTGAATTTGTTGGCCAAGCGTGGGTTGCAACCTATAGACTGTTAACATTCTCTACAGTAGTTGTAGGCCGGTATTGAGAAAACTTTAAGCAGTCCGACCTGGCACCAGATGCAGCAGAATGCTCCTTTATCTGGACCGGCCGTTACAAAAATGGATCAAATGATCCGGATTTGTCAATCTCACTTTTTGCTATCTAGGATCAGGTAATCCATTTTATGTTTTCTATGCCGGTTTTTTCAAAGCAACACTGGATTGGATCACCCTGAGCAACCGTTTTCAAAATTACCAAATCTCGTTTACCAGTGCCCTCAATGGGGCAACATATCACAATGTGGGCTGCTGGCAATGGAAAGAGACAAAACACAAAAAAACGTTCACTCGATTTATGATTTATGTTATGACACCTCCTCTTAGCCACAACAAATAACAAATATACAGAATTTAAACAAAGTACTGTGGAGATTTTCAAGAAGTCATAAATTAACAAAATAAAAAAACGTTTTTGCTCTATTAGATATTACTAAATAAAGCCCCTCCCCTTACGTCAACATTTTTCCTTGGTGCCAAGAGGTTTCAAGATGGCACCAAAGCAATATTATTATAGTACAATATTAGACATGGCTTTGGCCTGAGCACCAAAACAGTGAACGGGGAGCAGCACTTTTGGTAAATCACAGAGAACGTTGCTAAAAAAAAAAAAAAAAAAGTGTGCAACTAGGCAAATTTCCACGTGATTAACAGAATATGCAGGGTTTCACGGTTTGGTTCCTTACTTGCATGCCTGCATTAAAAACTATTTATATTTGTAGTCACCGTAGTTGATAATACTGTGCTTAATTGACTGTATGATTTAATTTCTTCTCAGAGAAGCCAAGTGAGCCAGTTTAGGAATAAAAAGGGGTGCATTCACTTTGTAATTCGTCATCAAACTTGGAGAGATGCCCGGAGCGAAAAAAGTCAAATATACAAGGAATACTATTTCAATCTTAGCTGACTTGAAAATTGAATTCAATTGATATCGCGCACCATGTTGCCCATGCGATACCCTGCTGAAGTCTTGTGAGCATTGACTCGATAAAGATGCATCACTGTGTGTCATTTCTTTTCCCAGCCATAATGTCTCCGCATATGGTGATTATTTTAGAAGAAACATGGTTGTTTGCAGCCAAACAAGCACATCGTACATTCACCGCTACACCCTGCCTCACGCCAGTGTGACAGATCATCATCGCTCGATCTCACACTGAGCGAGCGTCCCTTCCCTCCATATATACACAAAGTTGACGGATGGTACTGCAGCCAAACACATCACATATTTTTATTAAGGGATTCAATGGCATCTATTGATCTCCGTTACAAAGTACCTGCCTGCCACACTCTTGGTCGTCACAGAGATGAACGAGCAAGATTTGGAAAAATGGCATCAAAGTTTAAGGGGTCAAAGCAGCAATATAAGGTGAAATGCGTGCCAGTAAGAATGGGAGGCTTTGAATGAGCATGAGCAAGTGTGTCCCAGAGGGAAAGATGAAGAGGATTAAGAGTGGAGTAGGACGAGTGTTTCGGAGATTGGCAGGCCAAAGAGGTCAAGGGAATAGGTTGCAGAACGAGGTCAGCATTGCTCCTGGTCTTCACCTGAAATCAATCTCTTCTCCTCTGCTTTCATATCTGATATTCATCCCAGCAGAGTCCCTCAAACAATTTACCTGGAGTGCCGCTGACATGAAAATCAATAACTGTGAGTCGCCTTTTCTGCCAGGCAAACACAAATGGAGATTGCGATGTGGGAGCATGCGTGCAAAAAGGTAGTGGGGGAGATCAATAGTGGCTGAGGAGTGAAAAGAGGACGAGGTGAGGATGAGTGAGCTTGACAGAGCAAAAAGGGCAAGCCAGAGGAAGGGTCAGGTTGGAGGGGGTAGGGTTTTTTTTTTTTTTACTTGAGAGGAGGTCATTTGTCAAATTGTTTTGTTTTGTTCTTCTTTTGTTGTGGGTCTTTTTTTTTTCCGTCGCGGGCCGTTTGTCAGATTCTCCTGAGTAGACATCACATGCACATGTTGCTCTTTCATAGCAGTACACAATTAAAAGATGCTGCTATTCATTATTGTGTGCTTTAATTGCCCCAGTGATTTCTGCTTGTCTTGTCTTTTCTTGTATTATCTTTTGGTGTACACAAAGGATGAAAAGATGCCTCCTGTCATTTCTGTCTTTAAACACCTACTCATAACATTTCTTTGTCTACAAGCGTAAACTGTGATGTGCCATTTGCTCATTTGCGGTGGTCTTTTTTTGATTGGATTTCTCTTGCTTTATGCAGTGGATTGCCTGGACCCGACGTGTTCCAACAATGGCATCTGTGTGAATGGTGAGTGCCACTGTAAGCCAGGCTGGGGGGGGCTCCACTGTGAGCTGCCTCGTGCCCAGTGTCCGGACCAGTGCCACGGCCATGGTGCCTTCATTCCAGACACTGGGCTCTGCAGCTGTGACCCAAACTGGATGGGACCTGACTGCTCTATGGGTAAGTCCAAACAAAGAGATCCTGATGTTAGCAGGCATCTAATTAGCCAATTGTATATTTTTGTGGGATAAATAATAGAGAGCTATTGATACTGTATATCCTTACAGCTTGGTATTTTTATTATTTTGCCAATTAAGATACAAAATAATGAATCTGAACACCTGAATAACCCCTGTGACATTGTGCAGTATTGTGGTGAAGTCTTAGATTTGTGTTTTTAATGCGAACATAACCAGGTCATATGAAAAAAAAAAAACACACAAAATAACAAAGACTAAAGTGACACCTATTGAGTGTGACCACGCTTTAATTCAGCACAGTTTACGGTATGAACTAAGGGAAATGCAGACAATTAAAGTGAAAACTAGATCACAATAACATGATTGGTATGAAAAAAAAAAAAGCTCAGCTAATGGCCGCCGAAGATGTTGTCGTAGTGACGTATGTTGTTATGAAGCCATAAACTTGACCGTTTAAATAACACACATAATAACTCATTTGTTTATTGGAATATGTGTATGAATTATTTATTGATACCCCCCAAAAAAATTTTATGCAATGACAACCAAAACAATATTGCTAATGCCATCATAGTTAATGAAGATGCAGTGCACCCTTCCAAGAAATGGATGGCCTGACAAAGTAATAAAAAAATATCCTGCTTCCCCTTGCTGCTGTGAGAGCAAAGTTGTATTTAAGAAAACAACATTAAAAAAACAAAAAACAAATGCCAAATTGAAGCAGAGTGAAAATAAATGTCGATATTTTTACTGTTTCGCTCTCACAGGACTTGGTGAGAATTTAGCACCCTTTTAAGATTATCAATGCAGTCATTACAGGCCATAACACATGAAGAAAAACAAGTTCTGGACCAAAATTACTTTGCTGAAAATTATAGTATGCGGTGACACCTACATTCTCGTAAATTCCCATTGTGAAGTGGAAAACAAGTCGTCCCGTGCATACATATCAGGAGCATTTTTACATTCGGTGTCTTTCATAAAATAAAGCCAGCAGCGATTCTCAGCAGCAGGACTTCAGCATTCATTAAAAGTGCAGCAATGCTTGACTTTAATATAAACAACATTGTTCCACTCAGCAGTATCCCTCAGCAAGTATAGAGCGTTCCGAACATCTGTGCAAATTGCATCCCGAGCACACGGGGGTCTCAGACACATAATCAAACTTGTAGCATCTCATCACATGCATCTGGCTACACATAGGCACTGTAATGGGGGTGCGGGGAATATGCACATTTCTATTGGTCCACATAATTGAACTTGTCACCTACGCTGCAATAAAGACTGCAATAAATTTAAAACCCCAAATAATAAAGTACCGGTACTGTAATACTCTTGGTTACACTCAATCCGTGATTTTTATATCAGGTTGTCCACCACCTCCGACAATATTACATCGTATTACATAATAATATTACATTGTAGCTACCATAGAATATTGCAGTTTTATTTCGGATTGCATTTAACGTTTATGGGAACCTACTATAACCGGATATTCCTTCACTCCACGTTAGGTCGGACACTTGCCAACACATTTTGAACCCTATTAAAAAAAAATGTAGTCCTACACAACTGCAAAAGTGCAGGTAGCTGCACAGCCTAAAGAACACATCTCGCAGTGTTGCTGAAAACTGAAAGTGAATATGTTTGTTGAAGCCGCAATGATGATCCGGCTTTTGACCATTTTAAAAGCGTCCTTTATGTCTGACTCTCATCAGTACTCCGTACGGAGTTTTCAATTTCTGTGGCGTATCTGATACCGAGTCTAAATCTCCCTCTCTCCTGCAGAGGTGTGTTCCGTAGACTGTGGAACACACGGAGTGTGCATGGGTGGAGCTTGCCGCTGTGAGGACGGCTGGACGGGCGCAGGCTGTGATCAGCGTGTGTGCAACCCGCTTTGCATCAAACATGGAACCTGCAAGGATGGCAAGTGTCAGTGTCACCAGGGCTGGAATGGAGAGCACTGCACTATCGGTGAGAGCAATTTACTGCGCGTGTGTGGAGGTGGGGGCGGGGTTAATGTGCTTCGCTGTGCACCGAGCAGCAGCACCCAGTCATATTAATCTGTCAAGCCTGTCCAACTTTGTCAACAAATTAGGCTGGAAGAAGTTTAGGAAGAACGAGAATCAATCAGAACAAAAAAAAAAAAAAAAAAGTGGTTCCCAAACTCAGGAGCAAGAATTAGCAGTTTTGTAAGCTTGAGGAAGCCCTTCAAGCACCAAGGTTTTTGATAAAAGGTGAAACTTTTCACCTGACTGATGTCAAAAAAAAAAAAAGAAAAGTGAATGCTTGGTGTGTTTGTGTGTTTCCCCCAATGTCAATCAATCAATGTCTCATAGTGACATCACTGTCACTTTGGATGGATGAGTGCCAGTTTCTTTGGATTCACCCACAGTGCTTTTAGTCGCAATGTCTCATTTTGCTGTCACCGCAAGCGCTGTGATTGCAACCTGATACACACACCCGTCAGACCAACACTTACATACGCTCTCACACACACACACACACACACACACACACACACACACACACTAACACACAACTCCCTCCAACACATACGAAAGCACAGGGGAATAGCAGTTTATGATCTCCTCATTTTCCCCCCCATCAGAAAGTAGGGCAGCTTTGACTGCGGCATCGGCCCGAGATGAAAGAATTGTCAGGCCTCAGCTTGGCGCAGCGCAAACTCCACCAGCAGCAGACACTCACAGCTTATCTCAGTTTGCCTGTTGTTCATTTCAGCTCTGCATGATGTTTCTTGCATCGATTTATTCCTTTATTTGCCAATTCTCCCATTGTCTTACCTTTTGCACGTTTTCCTCCCACTGCAGACCATGGGAGCATGGTTGACAAAGCAGGTACCGTATCTTGACTCTGGTGTTTTGTTCATTAGCCTGTGGTGGTAGAAGCTAGCTGCTACATTTGTGGGCTCTTGGCCTGGCTTGGCTCCGTAGACACTGTGGTGCTATCTGTATGTAGATTAGGGTGCCAGTCTCAATGATAACTCCCTACATGTAGTGCACTCCCTATTACAGCGGTGCACTACTGCAGGGGTCCGGTGTCATTGAGCCCAGACGCGGGGGGGGTGCCGTAGAGCCGAGCGTGGTATCAGCAGTGTTGAGGCGCTGTGCTGTCAACGTGTGGATGTGCATGCATGTGAGAGCGTTTCTGTGTAGCGCACAAAGAATCTGCCAATAAATAGCTCTGGTATTCCGAGTCGTGTCTTACGTGAAACTCTGCCGCTTCACAAAAGGAGCAAATGATGAAAGCCCGAAAGAACATTTTGAAGGAACTGGAAAATTTCTGAGGCTGCTGATGCAAACATTACAGAGCTGTTGAATGTCTTTGTGCCTTTATATTTGGGTATTTGTGGCACCTTCCATGATCATTTGTGCTAGACGAGTGAATCAATGTATTTTCTGAGCATGCAGTGGGTGTGTATGAAGAAAATTCTGTCTGACATCTCGACCTCTATCCCAAATTCACCCTATTTAACTTACTTTAAAGTCACCGCTATCACAAATCCAAACGGGATCACAACTATTGTCTGGTTGAGGCATAGAGACTGCATGGCAGTACGGGTCCCCAGCGCAATGTTGAGAGCTTCGTCTCACCTTCGACACTTAATGCAATAGCTCTTATGAAAAACCTGTCCAGGAAAGAAAAAGGAAATTTAAAGGTCGGGGTTAAAGACAGAGCAGGAATAATTAGTGAAACAAATGAACCAAAGGAGAGACAATCCAACGACAGTGACTAAAAGAATATATGTTACAGCTTCCTACGATTGTCTGTGTTAAAGTGCAGTGTGTTATCTGATCTACCTTTCTGCAAGCACCTCTATTACCTTTAGTGGATGACCTTTAGAAAAGGTGACGCCGAACAAAGTCAACGCTAAAAATGTGTTTTTTTTCTCCTTTTTTTCATCATTGTGAAGTTTAACTTTCTTTCATGCGCTTTGTTCTCATTCTTTCTATCGGTCTGTCTCATTATCTTCCCCAGTCCTTAAAAACGATCTTTCTTTGTTCACACGCGGCAAACGACACAAGAGTGTGTGTGTGTGTGTGTGTGTGTGTGTGTGTGTGTGTGTGTGTGTGTGTGTGTGTGTGTGTGTGTGTGTGTGTGTGCGCGGCCACG